TTATATATAAAACTTCATCTATACTCTAATAAAAAGTTCCCCAGACCAAAGAGGTTACCTTAATACCAAAAAAAAAATAAAAAAAATAAAAATAAAAAAAAAAATTATTAGTGATAAATTGTCTATTAAAGATTATAAACTGTCTATTTCTTGATTATGCAAATAATGAATACTAAGAAATATCCAGTTGCCATAGAGCATACTATCTTCAGTTTGTAAAAGGAATTAATATTCATTTTTCTTCTAGTGATCCACATTCAATTAGTAATATTTGAGGATTTACAAAAGAGCCTTATATAAAAGGAAATAATATGGGATATTTTCATTTTACAAAAACATTAATGCTATTAAATATTTAATACAGTATGAAATTTAGTAATTTAACATGCACTTCTCATGTTGTATCCATTTAATCATTCTGCTGACTGAGTTCGACCAGATGTTGAAGCTATTAATAAGCTGGTCAGAGAATTAATTAATTTGGTATTCAGTTAGGTACAGTGTTATCGGCAGCATCCTTTATTTGTTTAGCATTTAGATTGATCTTGGTGAACTAATAAAAAATAATAAGATGAAATTTTACATATAAGAAATTAAATTTATCACTGAAGCTCATAACTCTAACATAACCTATTTTTCCGCACTTACAAAATTTGATTCCTTTTTTGGTTTGAGCTACCTTGCAAATTTTATTTATATAAAACAGCACAGCAATCTTTTGTGTATTACCCAAAATTTAACCTAAAAGCAGTAATCTTTTTGTGTATCAGTTTGTGTAACATAGTATTATCCCGAAATTTAATCTAAAAAAGCATTTAATAAAATAAACTTTAAACAAAGAAAATGATAGAAATTCACGGCATGTAATAATAGCCTCCAAATAGTAAATTGATGAAAGTCTGATCTAGTCTTAGGCAAGAAGAGCACATGTGCCCTTCCACAATAGTAAATAATCTATTCTGCTCTCACATTTTTATTTTTGGCAACATGCACCAAGTTTTATAGCTTAATACCAACTTTTTTAACATACCTGAAAATAATAAATTCAATAGTAACTGAGGACTGCATATTATGTTTATCAGCAAAATAGTAAAACAAATAATTTATAGCTATTGATAATAATTCATGCAATTATTTTTAGTTATTCATTTAAACTTTGCACTTAAATATATTGAAAATTAAATTTGGTGATTAAAGTTCCAAGATTCGAAGAAAAAAATTCTAATTAACTTAGTTATGTATTGATATAGTATTCTTATTTGGTAGTTTCTATAGTTATTTGTTTGTTATCTTCACCTTTATACTGTTATATATTGAAATATATATATTAATAAACTATTGTAATAATAAATATAATACAAGTTACTCTTGTTATAGTGAAGTGATCGGGCTATAAAATTTTCTTTACTATATTGAGAGTCCATTAGAAAATTTTGAGTAAATTCACTATATTGAGAGGGTTTTTATATATACTGTTCTTCACTATACTTATATAGAGAGTTCACTATAACGAGAGTAACTTGTACATATTTTTCGAATCTATCTATATTATTAAATGGCAGCGTGTTTGTTTTTAGGTTTTTAATTGGCTACTTAAATAACCAGCCTATGTTATACAAATATTAGATCTGTCATGTAGCAAAGCACGTGAAGGCTACTAGTTATAATCCAAATCAGAGCAGAAATTTTATAAAGTAAATTTCGTTTACTGAAAAAAAGCCACAACTTGCCAAAATATGTCCCTGATCTAGATATATGTGTACTTACTATATGTGATTAATCAGATGGATATCAGATATCCGCATTTTATTTTCTTTAATTATATAAATAGAATTAGACAAAGACCCTATAGTTCAAATGGAAAAAGGTGCAGAGTTAAAAACCAGATTTTTGAATAACAAATAAATTGATTTAAAAATGACAATTCTCTGTGTGTAAAAAAAAAAAAAAAAAAGACTTCATTGAAATGTTATAAAGGTATCCTTAAAATCACTAAACCTGTTATTTATATGTTTATAAAAAAATTTCAAAAATTATATGATTAAATTATGAAGATCTAAAATGAGTTTGAGTAGCATTTCTCTTTCTTTTTAAAAAAAAAAACTCTTTAAAAAGATCTTGTAACTAATTTTAAGTTGATATAGTTTTAAAATTTCAATAGATAATTGTTATATATAGTATCAGTTTTAGTTGAAGTATATAAAAAGAAGTTTTTTTTTATTTATGCTTTCATTACATAATTTAATTGTTTATTTTTGCTATTACAGATTTGTGTTAATGCAATTAGTAACTAAAAATTCAAAATAAAAAAAAGTAAAAAAAAATATATATTTATTTATATGCAATTGTAGACAATATGAGTCAATTTATATTATCCCTTACATGTCAAGAAGTGGATCGCATAAAAATTGTTCCAAATTGTATTAGTAGTAAACAAAAAATATTATCTTAATACATACTGGTTTATCCTTTACTTCCAGCTAGCAACCCGGAAGAGTCGGTCTGCCCAGGCTTTAGGTGTATTACGGTCTCTCTTCTCTTGGTACATGCTTCTAAAGCACATGTCCTTTTTCTCTGGTTGGTAACCTAGCGGTTTGGCTGGTGTATCCCCCTACTTAAAGACCTGGTCGCTTGGTTCTCCGGTCTCGATCTCTAATTCCAAATTCAGTCTTCCTGTAGCACCATCAAAGATCATACTACCTCCCTACTCGAGGCTTGCCAAACGGGTTTTCGGTAATTCTGGTTTCCTGGATTTATTGCGCCAAAGCTCCTATTCGAGATAGTGTGACCAAGATTACAGATATCTGGATCCAACTGATAATCTTAATATTAACCGATATAGATCTAGTATTTTCAAAATTGTCGTCTGTGGGATTCGAACTCTAGACTTGCCGCTTGGGGGTGCAGCAACCCCACCACTTCACTAGGTCGCCGCACCCTATCATCACAATAGTTAGTAAAAATTTTTTGTAGTAAATTACTATAGAAAACATATTCCAATACAAAACTAATATAATCATATCTAAATCACTTGTATCATAACAATAGCCGATAAGAATTTTTTACAGTAAATCATTATAGAAATCACAATCATTTTGATACAAAACTAATATATCCATTTCTAAATCACTTGTATTGCTACTATAGCTTGTAAGAATAGTAATCAAATTTTTTATAGTAAATCACTATAAAAAATCACAACCATTCTAATACAAAACTAACATATCTATATTCAAATCACTTGTATCATAACAATAGCCGATAAGAATTTTTTATAGTAAATTTTTATAAGAATCATGATTATTCTGATACAAAACTAATATCTAAATTACTTGTATTGTTACCATAGCTCATAAGAACAGTAATTGAATTTTTTATAGTAAAGCACTATAGAAATCACAATCATTCCAATATAAAACTAATATATCCATATCCAAATCACTTGTATTATAACAATAGCTAGTAAGAATTTTTACAGTAAATCATTATAGGAATTAAAATCATTCTGATACAAAACTAATATCTAAATTATTTGTATTGCTACTATAGCTTGTAAGAATAGTAATTAAATTTTTTTACAGTAAATTACTATAAAAATTATGACTATTCTAATACAAAACTAACATATTTATATCCAAATTGCTTGTATCATAACAATAGCCAATAAAAATTTTTTATAGTAAATCATTATAAAAATCAGAATCATTCTAATACAAAACTAATATATCTATATCTAAATCACTTGTATTGCTACCATAGCTTGCAAAAACAGTAATCAAATTTTTTACAGTAAATTACTATAAAAATTATGATCATTTCAATACAAAACTAATATATTCAAATCACTTGTATTACCACAATAGCTAGTAAGAATTTTTTATAGTAAATCACTAGAAATCACAATTATTTTAACAAAACTAACATATCCATATATAAATTACTTGTATTACTACTATAGCTTATAAGAACAATAATCAAATTTTTTATAGTAAATTATTACAGAAATCATGATCATTTCAATACAAAACTAACATATCCATATCTAAATTATTTGTATCATCACAATAGTCAGTAAGAATTTTTATAATAGAAATTATGTTTATTCCAATAAAAACTAACATATTCATATTTAAAATTACTTATATCATTATAATGAGAAAAAGAACTTAGCAAGAACATCAAACTAACTTCATTAAATCCTTCATTGAATCATAAGAAATTAAGGTTTACTTAGGATAAAATTATAGTTAGAGATAAGGTTAGAGTTGGTATTGGATTAGATAATTATAGTATAAGATAAAATTAAATATAGGTGTAATACATTATATTAGTTTTTTTTTTATATAAGTATATGTAATTTTAGTATTTTTAATAAAAAAATAATTTTAAAAATTAAAATAATGTATATAAGTTATACAAAACTGATGTCCAAAAAATAAGTCTGTAAGATGAGATCAGATTTTAGATTATACAAGTCCTTCTGATTAGTCGATGATATATAAAAATGAATTACATAACTTTTATTTACTTTAATTGGCTAAGAAACCAGAGATATATAGTTTATATATCTCTGGCCAGAGATGTCTAGAAAAACCCATATACTATATATATATATTTTATCTATTAAGTAAAATATTTATAGTATAGTATATATTAAAGTTGGGCTAAACTAGTTAATAGTAAAGTTTGACTAGACCAATTTGGTTAACTAACTAGTTTAACCAACTTTAATTATACTATATATTAATATATATATAAATATTGCTAATTAAACTAAATTAAAAATTTTAATTTATATATAGTACTATATATATAATATATATAATTAGATTTTTTTAATATAATTTTTTTAAATATAATACTGTATTTTTTTAAATATATACAACTTTTAATTCTAAACTATTTAACAACTCTTCTCAATGATCCTTCAAACCAACTTTTTACAACAAAAAATTTTAACAAAAACTGTAAAACTATGTTAGAGAAAAAGGATATAAGACAGATAAAAACTATAAACTAGCACCTATTATTTAGAGATAGTTCTTATATGCTATCTGCTAATAGGTTTAGAGCTTATCACTCACCATGGGGATGACACTTGTTATTTAGAAGTAGTTCTTATATATATGCTACTTGCTAACAAGCTCAGAGTTTATTACTTACTGAAAAGAATATCAGAAGTGCACTTGGATCTACTCATTTTACTATTTTTAAAGAAATATATACTCTCTCTTAAGAAAAGTACAAAGTCTATACTCTTTACTATCACCCACTTGTGCCTGTAATAAAATTTTTAAAAAAAGTAGGCAAAACAGCTTATTTTTGTCAAAAGATCAGCATAGTTTACCTCTTCTAAATTTAGTTGACCTGGTAGATTGCAACTACATGTTTTGTTTAGTAATAAACATGTTACTACTCTATGTGACAAGATCTATTAACTAGTTCTTGGTTAAAGATTTATTTAGATTTGATCATATAGTCAGAAAGAAACCAATATGTTAAGGCAAAGTCTTATAGTAGAGATATATAAATATTGTATTTGTTATATAATTTTTTAAGCCTTGTACAAATTACAATAGTGTACTTTCTTTTATTTTCTTTTATTACATTGTTTAGCCTTCTAAGAGTCTTACTTGTTCTTTTCTCATCTTTTTCTTATATGGTTATATTAGAGTTTTATATTTAGATTTTTGTTTTTTTCTCTCATATAGTTTTCTTTTCTTTTAATCATTTCCCTTATCTTCTCTTTCTTGCAATATTGTTTTATTTTCTTTTTTGTTTTTCTTTGTTTTATTGAATGAAGAAATAGGTTTACCAAAGCTTTTCTGCCAAGATCTAGATAAAAAAAAATTAAGTTTTGGCTCTTGGGCAGAGCTGACAACATCTTTTGTTCTATTTGTAGCACAATATAACAAGTTACATTTAGATACTCAAGAAGCAACCAGATAATACTACACCTGATTATTTTAGTTTAGATATTTCACTTGTGTTTTGCATATGTAATAATTATCTTTTAATAAAGATAGCAATAAGACTGTTAAAGAGTTAAAAAAAAAAAAAAAAAAAAAAATTCTAAACTATATATATATATATACTAAAAGAAATCTATTTTTTTTAAAAAAAATTACTAAACTTGGGTAGCTTATTATAAATAGATTATAATAATTATTAAAAAATGTTTATAATATAAATAATAATTATAATAAAAACAAGGTCTTACCTTAAATATTAATAAAAAAAAATAAATAAATAATAATTATTATAATATAACTAATATATATATATATTTTATACAACAAGTTTCTAAAATTTTTTATATAATTAAACTTTTAATTTGTAAAATTTATTAATAATAATTTTTTTTTAAAAAATAATTTTTTAAACTTTGTATTTTTTGCAATTTTTAATATATTAAATTTAGTACAAAGTTAAAGCTAATTATAACTATAATTTATTAATATAAAAAATATATATATATACTATATATATATTAAACAATTTTTAAATAGTTTTTAGATTCTTGTATACAAAAAAAATTAGGCTTTCTAATATTTTAAATTTTTCATGCATTTTTTAAAAATGTACTAAATTTAGTACAAAGTAGTAAATCCAATCCATTAATATTTAAAATATTTTTATATATAAAAAAACAAATATATAATATAAATATATATATATTTTAAGGTTAAAAAAAAAAACTCTAAACCAAATAAACCAAATGCATATTAAAATCAGGAAATTGCTAATCATAAATAATTTAATGGTACGTACTGTACATACTGTTATATGTATCATCGTTATCTATTTTTAATGAAATTATTGTACGATGAAATTATTTTTAAGCACATACTTTTTTGAATTGTTACACTTCGGAATTCTATGAATTCTTGCCAAGGAAGTTATTTTCTTGGTCTTTTTTTTTTTGTACTACTCCTATATTGGGAAACTCGTTTTATAGTTCTCAACAAATACGTAACTTGCATGTATTTAAAAATATAGTTAAGCCAGACTATATATGCAAAAATATTGTTCTTGATTTACTAATGATACATTTTTGAAATTATTATTAGGAATTTTTGATATATCAAAAAAGTAAATCTATCAAAGCATATATATTGCGCGGTTTACAATAAAGTGCCCGCGACATCACCGTTAGCGTTATCCTACCCCCGTTTTCTCTTTCGATATAAATTAAATTTTTAAATTATCTAAAGGGAACTGACATTTTCTGTTCTCTATAATACATATTCGGTCAAACAATATGTCCACAAACGGTACAGGGAAAACAAGAGAAGCTATTCGACGTAAATTAGTCATTGTTGGAGACGGGGCTTGTGGGAAAACTTCTTTATTATCGGTTTTTACATTAGGCTACTTCCCAAAGGTACGTTCCTCAATATGCAGTATACGATTTCAACATGTACCTGTTAAAAAGTTAAAATTCTTTTCTTTTTTTCTTTTGATCTAGGACTACGTAAGTACCGCCGCTAAAGTTTTATTGGCTTTTATCTTCCTATACCATTTTATCGTCACACAAGCTTTCGCTTTTACGCCGGGAAGATCGTCACTTATTACACAATCTTTATACCTAATGTCACTTTGAAATCATTTATACGTAATTTTCTCTATTTTTTTTTTTTAAAATATAATTTCATAGGTTCCAACTGTATTTGACAATCGGGTTACAGATCTCAAAATTGACGGAAAACCTATACAGCTAGCATTATGGGATACAGCGTAGGTTTCAATTATTCAGCAACTTAGTATTCGGAATAATGATTGTTTAACACATTACTTTAATTATAATATAAAATTTTAAAGTGGACAAGAAGAATATGAGGTGATTTAATTTTATTCAAATTACGAAATTATTTACGAAAAAATTCATTCAATATAAATGACATGTTAATAATTTTACTATCTATTTGATTTGATAGCGTTTAAGACCTCTTTCCTATTCTAAGGCACATGTCATTCTGATTGCTTTTTCGGTTGACCTACCAGATTCATTAGAAAATGTTGCTGCTAAGGTATGGATGAACTTTTTATTGTTGTATCGTATTTAGTGTTGAAATTTTTTGTAAATATTTACAATATTTTTTATAGTGGATTGGTGAGGTCACGTCTCATTGTCCAAATATTCCTATAATTTTGGTGGGATTAAAAAAGGATTTAAGAGAGAATGAATCCGTAATAGCGGACATGCAGAAAAGAGGTCTCTCCTTTGTCAGCCAAAAGCAGGTAGCTACAATTGGTCAAATTCCTAATTATCTTTTATTTATTTAAATTTGTAATAATATTCACTCTTTAATATTTTCAATTTTATTTTCTGTTAAGGGCGAACTTATGGCAAATCAAATAGGTGCAAAGAAATATCTTGAATGCTCAGCATTGACCGGTGAAAACGTGGATAACGTTTTTGAAGCTGCATCGAGAGCAGCACTTTCGACACTTGACGATGGTCACCGAAGTTGTTGTTTGATTCTGTGACGACATTGAACAATAAGGGTTTTGTTCAATAAATATCTATATATTTTTGATTCGTGCATAACAAGAAGGGCGGATTTACTTAAATACATGGTGGAAATACAGGTCACAAATATTTGTAAACTAGTTTTTCCTTTTAATCTTATCCCTATTATGCATTACTCGTTATTCTTTATTTCAAGTTCTTCCCGGAAGAATGTCTTTTACGTAACAATGGTTTTGTTATATAAGAGGGGGAGGTTACATTACTCTGATATAATAATTTCTATACTGTAAAGATTTGATTACTATTTTTAGGAGCTATAGTAGTAATACAAATGATTCAGATATGGATACGTTAGTTTGTACTGAAATATCATGATTTTTATAGTAATTTATTGTACAAATACTTACTAACTATTGTAGTGATACAATTAATTTGAATATAGTTAGGGTAGTAACATTTATCACCTGATTTTTTTTTATCAGAGACTTACCCCCCCCCCCCTAGCTCTTAATATACAATTGATCAGGTGTTATATATAAAATTTTAATTTTTTTGACCCTCCTCCTAAAAAATCACCTGATAAATGTCTATACCCTTATATAGTTTTGTATTGGAATGATTATGATTTCTATAGCAATATATTGCAAAAAGTGAGAGTCTCTAAACACTTACTATTTATATGAATTTGTATTTACAAAAACATTCGAAGGATATTGCATATGACTTTGGTAAGTACAAATTCACATAAATGGTAAGTATTCAGAAACTCTTTTGCAAAAAATTCAGTTATTGTATTTGCTATAGTAATAAAAGTAAATTTAATCAGGGTTCAAAGAAATAAGTATAAAAATATATTCATTAATAACTTTTTTCCTTCTGATTTAAGGTTCTAATAAGTTAGCTTGGTATTCTTTTTCTGTCTCAACTAAGACTTAAAAAGTTAGCTTAGTGTTCTTGCAAAGCATATTATTAAAGCCTTTTTTTTTTTTAATTTGAGCTAGGTTTAAAGATATTGGTGTAAAAGTGCATCTGCTAATACTTTTTCTCCTTCTAATCTAACTATAAAATAATTAATAAAGCTTCAGTAAGGTGACAAAATCTACAGCCACAATAGCATCAGAAACTATACCTAGAATACGTAGAACTATTCAAACTATAAATAATTTTAAAACCACAACTTCAGTAGCAATGATATCTACAAAGACAACACCCACTATGATATTGTGATACCAATAACAATACAAATAACAAAAAGCACAAGCTAAATAAAAAAAAGTTAGTAAGTAAAAACAAATAGAAAAAAAAACAAACAAAACAAAATGATTATCAAAGATGAAGAAAAATCTTATCTATTTAGATTTTGTGATACAGAATAAGATTGTTCAACCTTGTATTAGTATTCAGATCAATATATAAGCTTTAGTTATATAATCTTATTGTTCTTTAATTGGCTAAAGAGACCAGAAATATATAGTTTATATATCTCTGACCAGAGATGTCTAGAAAAACTCTATAGTATACATATACTATATGGGGGAGTCAATAGAAAAGGGACAAATTTTTTTTAAGTAATAGTTTTCTTGACTTTAAGCTTAAATATCTTAGCAATTATCTTATTAAATTTAATAAATTTTTTTTTATTTTAATTCT